TAGTCATAGCGGACGATCGAAAAATAATAATAATAATAACAATAATCGTGCGGATAACGCCTTATGCCTATACTATACACGGTACACTCCGTTCGTCATTGTCTCGGCGGACATTAACTACCGACCAACGTTTCCGATATTAATAAAACTATTGTTACCGTCCCGTGCAGGTGAATTGCCGCAACTATAACGCTTACGGTAGGCGTAGGAGACGTGACGTGACCAATAACGACCGGTCCGACGAAGACGCCCTAGACTCGGTACAGCGCGGACAGCTGAGGGAAGAAATAACGATACAGTCGAACGCTATTTTGACGTTCGAACGCAGAGAAGAACGACTGATGGGCCCGGCCGAAGGTAAGGAGATACCGATCATAATAACGCTATAACGATTTATGTAATACAACAAGTGCATTGTCATTCGTGCCGTTTAAAACCGCTCGGCACAGTGATACTGTACAGAAATATGTTTGAAAATCTGTTCGAAATTCGGCTATAGCGTTCGTTCCTGTGTACATCATACAAAAAAAAAACCGTTCGGGGGCATGGTCCAAACGGGGAAAACGTGTGCCGCGATATAAATGTACCGCAAACACCCACGCTCGTTACCTTTACATAGATTTTTCTAATACGTGTGCGACGCGAAAACAATACGAGTACCTATTGTAAACAGCTATACAACATTTGACCCAGTTTCGCACTGTGTTTTCCTTTCACCGACATAATATTATCGGCAATAAAACGCTGTTACACAACCGCAACGGGTTGTAATAACAATAACAGTGATTAGTATTGAAAATTAAAACATTACGACGCGTGCCTTGCCGTCCTACCGCGGCTGCTCCGCGAATAAAAAAAAAAAAAACAAAAAAACCTAAATAGTTTTATCGAAAATTCGACCGATTGTTCGGCTGGACGGAAAACCTAAAATACGTGAGCCGCAGAAAAATAAAAAAAACGAAAAACAGTACATTTTGCGAATTCAATATCCATTTCGTTATCGTTTTCGAACGAAAAGATTTCGGGACGATATTTCCGAATGAGGCGACGTCGGCGATAATCGTTATATTATGATTTATGCCGCGTCCATCATTGCAGCGTATTACACCATAGCCCCGAACTCCGGCTGCGCTCGACGTGCTTTCTAAACGCCAGGATCCCCATCCCCTCCCCCCGCGCTCACCCATTGAAACGACCGCTGTCTAATCTTGGCCAGGCCTATATAATAATACCTACTGTGCGACCGTTCCACTATAATAAATGTATACGTTATGTTCGCCGTATTACAGCACCGATCCTGTCGCCCACGGAGGACATATGCGTCTCGGTGATCGGACTCATCGTCGCGTTGGTCATCACGGCCCTGCTGGCTCTGGTGGCCGTGGCCGTGGCCGTTTCGTGCTGGCTGATGGCCTACCGGAGAACGCCGAACGTCAACGGCCCGCTGCCCCATCCGACCCAAGTGCCGAACCCGATGTTCATGAACCACGACCAGACGTCCGAACCATCACCGGATTATCTAACATGATTTCTCCCCCCCCTCCCTACCCCCTAACTCTTTAGCCTCATCCCATACGCTATTATAACATTAGGAATTATGATATGATAATGATATTACGATGATGTTCGACGTATGTATACTTATTATTTTTACGACTGTTAACGAATTTGCCATGTTTGTGATAAGTCACGGTTGGCCTTTAATTAGCTGCAGACACTCGAAAATCGGTAATAATGTAAAAAAAAAAAAAAAAATATTAATAATTATGATAATAATAAGGCAATTTAATAATAATACAATACTGTATAGCTATCTACCTATATACTGTTAATGACGACTATACGACGAGTGTTGCCCCGATTAAAGGCCTTTTTTTTTTTTTTTCTTGGACTAAACACAACGAATTTTCCTTAGTCAAAATTGCACAATTAAAACGTAAATAATCATTTCTAACGTACTCATATAAAATTATTATTCACGTTTTAATTGTTGTACGGGCATTTCTTCCGAACGCTTGTTATAGTATAGACAGGTGCTGTGTTTCGTGACTATAGATATTCAATAACTTTACTGTAAAAAACATTTATGTATTCTAAATTCACTTTTAAAACATATATTAAGTATATTAAGCTTTCGGAAGACTTGTTCGCATTTAGTTTTTAAGGTACGTGTAATATATTAGAATTAAATTTGTATAATCGTTTTGATATTTAATCGAATGTTGTGTATGAATAGTGTGATATAATATTATTAAACTATTAATTTATTAACAAAGTAAATATATAATATAATAATAAATTTAACTTCCTAAATAAACATATTATATTATTTTCAGTCATTAGAAAATCGTTAAAAATGACTAATTTTTATTACTCCTACTTAAATCAAAACTGTTAAGTATTCTTTTCCAGTCATTAATTAACAATATATTAGAATATAATATATTTTAGTTATTAGGTACCATAAAATATGTTTGTCTTATCAATTTTTAAAATTATATACATATATTTTATAACATTTGTTTAACTTATTCCAGTAATTCATTTTATATAAACATCGTATAACAGTTATTTTTATAGCGATTTAAAATTAGATAATTATAATACAATATAAAGTGTGATTTAATTTGAAAAAATAATAATATAAAACAAATATGCTTTTTTAAAACGTGTTTTATTCGTTCGTCTTTCCTGTATATAGTACCTATACAACCTACTTTTAGATAAGTACAATATATTCCGTTGACTTTGAGTTTGCGGTATAACTCGGAAGTCAGTCGTTTCCACCAAAACAAATTGATTCGATTTTGATTTCCGCCAAATATATTTCTATCTACCTATCTAATTTATAATTTGAGAACCATTTAGAGTTATCCAGGGACCACCACGAGGAGGCGGTTCTCGTTGACCCCCCCAAAAATTATTTAACTTAATTTTCGGACTAAAGTTCAAAAATTCGAATTTTAATTAAATTAAGTTGATTACAATTATATTTATGTTACAATATCTAATGGTTTATCCCGAATTCCGATATACACCGATGACAGCACTGGATAATATATAAACTAGGGGTTCTCAATAATTTAGGTAGATATAGATTTGGTGAAAACAAAAACCGAACCCTTTTCGTTTTGACAGTATTGATACTTGGCGGAAACAATGGCCGCCCAAAAAATCATAATATTTAGACGTAGACAACAATGGTACGAGCCTCAGTTCGAACCCAGCAAATCGATCATAACTACTTTTGAAAAATCGGTGACTTTGAGGTTTATTTTCAAAAATAAACATGCTGTAAATACAAAATATATATATATATATATATATTTATTAAAAGTATTTTAACAAAGAGTAGTACTTAATATTTATTTATTACAACAATGATATTTTGAATTGCAATGAGTTTTATTTTTCAAGCACTTACATCGGTGATTTTGATAACTTGTAAAGGAAAATTTAATAAAGCCTTGTCCAGATCCATTTGCTTCTTGAATGGCAATCGATCGTAAGGCCAATTCTTTTTCTCAGTTTACTTCTTCTAAGGTTACAAAATTTTATAGACACACAGTAAATTTCGATCTGGCATAAAATTGGTTCACAACACTTACAAAAAAAAAACATAAATTATTAATTAAATATGTATTAGTTAATCAATGAAATAATACCGGTTTTATATTTTAAACGATAAATCCTTCTCCTTGTCTTGATCAACATATGAGATTGGCGCTCAACCATATTTCCAACAAGAGCCGGTGGGAATTTGTTGAGGAAACTTACTTTTGATTTTGATCGCCTGTAATTCCAAATTGTTTTTCGCTTTTTTTGCTAGTTCTCAGTTATATTAGTTCTGTCACAAAACTTACTTAACAAATGTACTTCATTTTCTTTCTCTATATGTATTCCGCAATTAACATGGATTTTGTCTTCACACGTTGAACATTGAACTGTTTCCATCGTTTTCTTCTAAGCATACCTACCAAACGATTTTCCTAATTAATACTCTTATCGACTGTAGAAACATCTTCATTGATCTTATTCTTGTTTATTGTAGATATTTCTTAATTAGTTGGAGCCCGTGGAATCATAATCTACTAACTTAAGAAAACATCTTAAATCATCTAAATCTTTTAAAATATTTTGGGTAGACGATTTTTAATTTGGGCTAATTATTTTTCAAGTTAAAAACAATTTGATAAGAAAATTCACGGCCGTTGTCGGATTGTAGTATGGATGAGTCTCCATGTTTAGTGAAAATATCAATTAAATTCTGAGCCACTTCTTTAACAATTTTTCTTTTATATGGTTTTAAGACGAAATAAACTTGGTTAAATGGTCCTGATAAGCCACTATAAATTTAAAAAGTTCACCAGTTCAATCAAATCTAGCTACTTAACAGCGGCTATTAAATTCATTTGAAATAAAGAGCTTCACAACTAATCTTTTCCTAATTTTTTTTTTACAGTGTAGTGTATACTACAAACTTTATAATACGATGATAACTTTATTATTTTTAAGTTATTCGGTTAACAAAATTAACAAATATAATCTAAAAAAACTTCGATATTTTTTTTTATTTCACAGAAATTAACTATAACCATTTACATCAAACAAAACAAAACAAAAATGATTAAAGAACTACAACAAATTAAATATAACGTATACCTATTACCTATCCAATAACTTATATAGAAGATATAAATCTAATTGAATAATTTTGAAGGATAAATAATTTAAATCAATTTACACACAAAAAAATAAAATATAATATAAAATTTAACTGAATTTAATTTATGGATCATTTATTATGGAACATTTTAAAAATCACAAAACATAATTATTGTATTATTTTTGTTTTTTTTTTTTTTTTTTTTTTACATGTAGGTTAAACGATTTCCTCCGAAAAATCGACGTTTTGACACCTTAACAGGATACATATTTAGAGTATAAATAAGACTTAACTAAACTCAGAAACATTTTTATTGTACAAAAAAAAAAAACTATGTACAGTAACGTTTCGATTTAAAGAAAACGTGAAATATTTCTGACGAGTTATACTCTTTTTAAAGTCATGTTTATATTTTTAATTTTTGTTATTTTGTTTGCACTCGTAGATTTGTATAGTCATAACTACATGATTTTTAATTTTTAAATTATTTTGAATTATTTATCGTCTTAAAGAAAATATTACACGCGTATTATACCGTACAAATTGTGTCAATTTACTGTTAGGGAAAACTATTAACCAACTTTTTGTACAAATAAAAATAAAGTTTAATGTTTTATTATCTCTACAATACTACACTGTTACAATGTTACAAAAAAAGTGCCGGTACGTGCTTCAAGAAAAGAGCTAATACATACTGCGTTGGTACTAGTCGAGGTGCCACTATTGTAGACGGGAGTTCGTGAAAATGTGAAATATACCATTATAATATTGATACGCATGTGTAACAATAAAATACGTTTATAATAAATTAGTTTACTAATTGTTTGTTTATTAGTATTTCTAACTAATATTTTATCATTTTAAAGAATTGTCCAATAATATAATGCTTAATATAATAAATGTGCGTTCGTTTTATTTTGGTTTTTGTTAGTTGGTGTTTCATACTATATATTCCATATGGGAATTACTGTATTCGATGCGGTCAGATTTCAAATTAATGAAATAATAAAGTACCATCAATCGGAGGTACACACGCAATCTGAAGCAAAAAATGAAAAATAATATTATTATTGACTTGACATCTTATATTTTATTCTAAAAGAAATTTGTATTGATATGATGAAAAATAAAATAAAATATTAAAATAATTTTTTATGCTTTTCATTTGATTGAACACACATTTTAATGTTTATTCGTCGATATAATAATATAATATCATAGGCATACCGCCCCCTTGGGGGCATCAAGAGGAAGAAAACGTAAATCACAAATTTCATTTCTATAAATACACTTTTATCAAAAATCATTTGAGATAGTATGATTCTAAGTATATTTAACAATTTTACAATTAGTCGGTTGACGGGTAGGGCTGGAAGGCGATGCAAGCTATATGTACTTAATTTTTTTAGAGGCCCCGTATCGAATAGCTGTCACAGCTCATAATCTCACATAATTTTTTAGGAAAACACAAATTAAAAGTAATTAACAAACAGGAGCGGATCCAGAGTTCAATTTCGGGAGGATGGGGCAAAATTGTAAATACAATGCTATAAGTAGTAAATTAAAAGATCTTGTGTAAACCTACCCCACTATAGTTTTTAAATAGGAGGCAAATGACTTCATTGCCCTCCCCCTGGATTCATCACTGTGGACAAAGAAAAATTGCAGGGCCTCGATATTTTCCAAACCGTCCTTGTTAACTGGCATATTAATATAAATATAATATATTAATATTTGAAATGAATGTTCGAAAATATAGATCTATTGAATAATTATGAACTTTTGGTACACAAGTACATATTATTATACAAGTTCGAGATAGGCCTGTGTACCTAGAAAATTTCAAAACGACTATTATTGTACACAATTTATGCAAATAAAATTGTGTTTATGTCAAAATACGACCTAGTCTCTAATAAAAATAAATTAAGTATATTATAACATTGAAATAGAAATTAATATATTGTAAATACAAATATTAGTGAAACACGAATGTTGGCGTTTTGGCATTTTATGACATTTTCGCAACGCGATTGCGGATGGTCACTATATGACAAAAGATATTATTTTGCGCCCAGAAGATGACGCGATTGAGGAAAAATTCAACGAAACGTTGCCAAGGTGCGTTATATCGGTTGAGGAAAGTCACAATGAAATTCCCTCTTCTTCTTCTTCTTATAAATCATCCCGAGTCTGTTTAACAGTTTTACAACTGGCTCGTATCGTCTGGATTACACAATATAATAATAACATTAAGATAGGTAATGACGCTAATGTATAACAACAATAATGTCGTTGTAAAAAAACACCGCGTGTGTATTTATCTATAATTAATAACAAGTTATTACAATAAAAGCATAAGTCAACAAATATATAATAATTATGTCATTATATAAATCGCGTAGGTTGTTTAAATGATAAAAATTAAAAACTACCAATGTTAGTGGTGATAATGCGGTAGGTACCTACAAATTAAAATCGAGCGCACTGAACACATTTGTATTTGTTCTCCCATGTAATAATGACTAATTATTTTTAAGCGTGTATTTCGATATATTTTTGCGATCACCGATATTGCTTCCGTATCTGCTTGAGTTTCTTTAATCTTTTATTTTTTTTTTTCTCATTATTTTGTTCTTACTTTGTAAAAGCCGGTGGCGTTTTTCTATAAAGTAAACAAATAAAATCAATACAACTGAATTAATAGAAGAACGGCTGTTATGGAATTGGCCGTTCAATCATAATAACCTAGCTACATACTTGGAAAAATAACTCATAAAACTAACGGAAAGATTCGATACATCCGTAGGTAGGTTTCCTACCTACCTACCTACGTATTCGTGTACTGGGATTTCACGTACTCATTAGTCACCGCGAGATAGTGCACAAATTTATTAAATTGCAATGTATAAATGTTACGTACCTAAATACCTATTCATATTTTTGGGTTTTGTTATGATATGACTTTTAGTCCGACCCAAAATTTTGAAAAATTCTAAAACATAAATTGATTTTGCAAGAATTTGCAACTAGCCTAATCGAATTAGTTATTATTTGCAATTGTTTGACACCATTTACAATCGAATCGACTGAAAGGATGAGAGCAACTAAAAGTACCTACATCATAATATTATGATCTGGGTGCTATGTTTGTTTATGGATTACGGTCCACGTACTACGTAGTTGTCATGATAACAATGTCGACGAAACAGTGGTAGGCAAACGAGATACCGCATTATCAGGTAGTCGACGAAACGGAAAAGTGTCTATTATGTGAAAAAAAAAAATAAATAGTATTTAGTTCGGTTGTCTGTGCGAAATAATTATTTTGTTGCGATTTGGTAAGTTATAAATACATAATAACCGTCTTTTATAAGTATAGATTACATGTTTTACTAACATTTGCCATTTAATGTTTTTCTGAAGTATCGTTTAATAATATTTCGTGTTTTGTAATTAATTATTTTTAATGTTCATTTCGCAATATGTTACTTTTATGTACCTATGAGTAGACATCTAATAATCTAGGTGTACAATATATGATCTGGCGACTTGGAAAACAATACACCTACATTCAAATTTATAATTTTCGAAAGACATAACGAAAATTGGTGTTTTTGTTTAATTACCTATATACTATACACAAATATAATATACCTACTTTGATATATTACGTTTTTAAATATTTTCATACAAAACGTTGATAATTTTTTATTATTATTATTTATAAATTATATGTCTACTAAAGAATATTTATATTGGTTAATTTAATAAATTTTAAGTCTCCATTAATACAAAAAAAAAAAGAAACAGTCAAATACCGACTATTTTTTCACTCAATAGATTTGTTCATTTTAACAAAATATGTACACTATAGATTTTACACCGTTGTGTAGATTTGACATCCGAATGTTTGATATTTTACTGGTGTGAGTACTATATTCTTTATTTCTTTATCTAAATTGTGAAACTAATATACCCAGTGAGTTTATTCTATGAATATTGTCTTGTAATAATATTTTTAATATTAAATACAAAATAAGTACCATATATAAACACTTATTTTGTGTATACACATAAAACAATATTGAAAAATATAAACTTTAATGAAAAAAATGTTTATAACTAGGTAACTATTTTCCATTTATTCTATGAAACAATACTAAACCACATCTTTTGTAGGTATTTGTTAATTGTTCTTAAATTAATCTAATTCTAAAACAAACAAAATATGTAACATTTGTAGATAGCTATAAACCAATTTTGTCATATCTTAAATTTTTAATCCATTTGTATAAATGTCTATAACCTGTAGACCTATTAACTATTTAATAGGTTTACCTTGTTAGGTATTACCTATACACAAACTATCTAGATTTTTTTTTTTATTAATCAATTATATTTACTTTAGTTGGTATGCAGAATGACAAATCATCATCTGAACTACCAGCAAAGAATATTTCACCAGTAATAGAAAATCCTGTTTCGATAAAACATTTTGTACCAAAAATTGGATTATTGCATCACAAAGAATCAACACAAATGATATTATGCAAACCTAAATTAATGCCATTGAAATCAGTGACTCTGGAAAAACTACAAAAGATGCAATCTGAAGCTGAGAAAAAATTGTCAAATAGATGATTCAATTAAATTTAAAATGACTGTGGGAATATTTAGCGCTGAAGTTATATTTGCTTTTATTTTAACAACAGTGTTACTCAACCGATATGGCAATTGGAAGACTCAAAATATTGTTGTCACATTTGCTGTACTAATTGCTTGGTATTTTTCCCTTTTAATTATCTTCGTTCTTCCCATCGATATATCTTTAGTAAGTTTCTATAATTTGTATAATATGATACTTTATATCTAATTGTATTCACATTATTTTTTTTTTATTATACCCAAAATATATTTTAATAGAAGATAGTATTTTGGGCAATATACTTTTTAAATGTATTTACTTGTACATCAATACCTACCTGAAAACTAACTGAACCTCTTTTTTATATATTTGATTATTTAAATCATAGAAAAGCTTGTATACAATCAGTATAGTTAATATCTTTAATAGGCAAATAACAAAAATATTTGTATATTCATTTCTAATTCTAGGCAGCTTATCGTAAATGTATTCAAGATGAGCAATATCATAACTCTACAAATTCTAGTCAAGAATCAACAACAGCATGTAAAAAACCATGGAGTTATGTGCCAGAGTCTACATTACCAAATATGTGGAGAGTTGTTTATTGGACTTCTCAATTTTTAACATGGTATGTAAAATGTTTAATTTTTAGTGGACAAAATCTTAACAACTGAAATTTGATTGATTTAAATTTCTTTATTTTTACAAAATCAATTTATTAGACTTTTCAAATTTTCTCTTAATTTGATAAAATATTGATTAGGTAAATTGATGATGTTATAAATAAATACATTTTCAGTAGAAAAGAATATTTAACTCGCTTATTATCGTTAGAAAATTACTGTTTTTTATTTATTCGCAAATTATATAATTTCTCAAATAATATTGCAAAATAAAAATCTCTTTTAAATATTTAAAAAAAAAAATTATATTTTTATCCAATATAAAAAATAGGTATATACTCTACTTATTGAATTAAATCTATTCCATTACATTTTATTTTACTAATAGTCTAGGTACTTATATGATACATATTAATATTATTAATAACTCAAATTTATATTTATAAAATTACCAATTTAAAATTGTTTAGGTTTATCATGCCAGTTATGCAGTACTATGTGAAATCGGGAGAGTTTACATTAAAAGAAAAATTAAAAAATGCAATTAAAAGCAATACAATGTATTATAGTACATTATTATTGATTTTTTCAGTACTTATAGTGTATATTGCTCTTAAACCAGGAGTGCATTTGGATTGGTAAATATAAAATAATTTGAATAATAAATAAAGTTTATAAACTGTCATAGATTAAACACATGAATATAGACCATTTTAATATATTATGTAAAAATATATACTATGTATTGGAATGTTAGTTATTTAATTTAATTATGACATTGAATTTAAATTTAAAATTAACAACATTTTATTTGAAGTCAATAAATTTAAAAATTATGTTATTAATTATAATAATATGTTAAATTAATTTAATTAGATTACATTATTTTTTCTAATTTAAATACATAGATTTTAATTTTAAAACCATTAGTTTGTGTAATTATATATAACATATACAAATAAATGAATATCTTACTTTTTTTGCATGATGTTAAGTACACAAATATTTTATCATATAAATGTATACAGTTCAGATAAATAAGTAGATTAAGAGTCACTAAAATTCATGAATTTACATGAATGTACTTACTTAAAATAATAGACTTATTATTTACATGACTAAATATATGTTACAATATATTAAGCAATATATATTTTTATTAAAAATAATACTATTCATTTTTATTTTAGGCAAAAACTAAAAGCTATTGCATCATCTACTAGCAATACCTGGGGTTTGTTTCTTTTAATATTATTACTAGGTGTTGCATTAGTTGACATTCCAAGAGAATTATGGCGATCTAGTCAAATCGATTATACATTAAGAAAAGTATATTTTAAATTGTCAAAACTTAATACAGAAAAGCTAGAGTCTGAAGGAGCTTTAGAAGATGTTCTTGAAGTACTTAAATATTATTACGGTTTCAATTTAATAATTAACCTGAAAAATTAATTTTAAAAGAAACTGTGTTTACTTTAGTCAATAAAGAGTGTTAGTCTCAGTTTAAGTCCAAATGATCCATTATATGATTGTTTTCAAATAATTTTAAAAAAAGTTCCTGATGATCAACGTGACTTTTTAACAAATGTGAGATCTAATTCAAGACATCATACCACTCCTCCTTCAATTGGCATGCTCACTCGACTTCATAAACAAGTAATAAATTAAAGATATATGACTTTAAATAAAAATAATAATTAATAATTACAAAAATAATAACAATGAGTTCAATACAAGTTAAGTTTTGTGGTAATTAAAAGTCTAATGTTTTGATCAAATGATGTACACACCGCCAAGCCTAATTTACCTGGACACCATCGTAAATTATTAACTGGTTGACTTGATATCAGCTGATTCTGAATTAATTGTAATTTTCCCGGATTTGTTATTTTATCACCATCAGAATCAGTTTTATATCTTTCATCTGGGTACTTATATTTCCACAAGTATACTGAACCATTTCCTCCAGTAGTAGAAAAAATTTCTCTGTTTTGAGGTAGATGTCTGACTGTCCATATGGTATGTTTGTGTAAACTATTTTTTAAGTAACCAAATCCTTTGGTAGGATGCTGAACTTTGATATCAAATACATAAAAATGTGACTCAATTGTTGTGGCTACCAGTTTATTCATTTTAATGTCTTTTCTATCAAATTGTAAACTGCAAACGCCATTTGGTACATTGGTTTCCCAACGTAATGCCATTGCTCTTAAATCTAACATTTTTATATCTCCATTATCATAACCAGCACATACAATTCGTTCTTCTGAATTGTACGAATTTCCAAAAGCTACTGTCCAGCAATCTCTCTTTGTAGCACCAACTGCAGTTTCCATTTTTGCAACTGGTAGTTTTTCTCTTGGATCCCATACTTTCACTGACCCATCCTTTCCACCTGAAATAATATCTTCTTTGTTACCAAATGCAATCATGGAAAATTGTATATAATAAATGTAATGAACTATAAACTGAATACCTGTCACCAATTCTGGAGCACCACATCCAATCCCGAGTCCTCCAACACCATCAATACAATATATAAGACCTTGATGAGCTTTCACAGAATAAACTGATTTAGCTGAATATTCTAAGTCTACAATTTGTAGGTTGCCTTCATAGTCTCCGACTGCAAAGTGTTTTTTATTTATTGGGCTTGATTGAAATGTAGCACATTCTATAGCAACTGGCTTCTCATACTCTTGAATAGTTTGGATATCACTTTCATCCAATGAATAAATATTTATAACACCTTTCAAATTTGGTTTACCACCAACTGCTATGAACTTGGCCGTGTTGTGAATCCATTGACAATCTTTTAACTGATAATTAACTGGCTTCTCTCTGTGAATAATTATCTGTGGCTTACTTAAATTATCAACTAAATTGTCCATTATATTAAACTATGGTTAAACATTGGTGAAATAAGTAATAAGTAATTAATATTGTGTTCAATGATTTGTAATGTTACTATGGTTACTTAAAAATAGTATGTGAGATCAATGAAACACTAAATGTGATTGCAATATTATGATATATTTTGTTGTGTACTAGGTTTCCTTTATCAAATTTGTTTGAATAAATTATAAATAAACATGTACTATTTTGTTATATATTTAAATTGATGATGTTTAATAATAAATAATATAATGTTCTATTGATATATTTATATGAATTGATTTTTTATGATATGGTTTAATTTATATATATACATTTGTTCAGTTAATTATTGCCGTACATATGTGTCAACGTACAGACACTCAAGGTAATTTAATGCTGGAAAAAGCTATTTTCTTGGAAGACATCAATTTAAACATGACATCTAGAGATCGAAAGTTTAAAAAAATGTTCAATAAACCTTTGAAACTGAATAATTATGCTGACACTTCAACAATTGGTATGTTAAATTATTTATTAACAGTATTAATAAATAGTTTTATTATTTTGATTAATTTTTAGACAAGAGTCACTAAAATAATTAATAATTATAATGTCAAAGGAATGTCTAAAAATACTATCTTATGAAAATAATCAAATACAAAGATGTTACATACAATTTTCCAACAAAATTAATTAGAAACAAAGTTATAATTTTAATAAATAAATAAATAAAGTAATTTTTAAAAAAAAATGTGTAGATTCTTTGTGGAGCGAGGAAACTATTTTTCATTATTACTGAACTTATGATTGTACCACTTATTATTTTTGAAAATGTTTATAATTTGAACTGCTATATATGTTTTACTAACTGATTAATATATGCTGTGTAATTTGTTTAGTATACACTTACAATTTTTTTGCAGAATGGTATTGGTGGTGTCGTATATATCCTATGGTACTTCAAACTTTATCTGTGATAACTGGTGCATTGTCAGTTATAATTGTGTGGTCTGAAATGACATTTTTCAAAAAACAACCAGTGCTCTCTATTTTTGCTGTCATGGTTAATATGGAAAAACAAAACAATGATTATGTCATGATACAGGTAAAAAAAAAACTATTATTGTTTGTGTATAAAATATTAATTTTAAATTATCATTTTATTGTTTTTTATAGATATTATCTACAATTTCTATTGCTTATTTAGCTTATTGTACTTATTCAACAATATTTAAGATAAAATTACTTAACATTTACTATCTTGCATCAAATCATCAAACCACTGAAAGTAGTTTAATATTTTTTGGATTGTAAGTATAATATTCAGATTTAATAATAATTTTTAATTTTAATTATTAAATATGTATTATAGGCTGCTGAGTCGTCTTACTTCGCCTATGTGTTTAAATTTTCTCGGACTTATTCATATGGACAGTCATGTGATCAAAAGTCGTATTCTAGAGACAGACTATACTCAGGTATAGTTGTAGTCTTTGTAAATAACATGATAAATAGGGCTATGAATATCAATACACTGTAATATTCAATACATTATATAACATTTAAAACAAATGTATATAGTCAAAACATTATTTTAAATTAAATTTACTCAATAAAATTGTATGTACTCACCTGATATTATATTGTATCTTTTTTTCTATAATTTAGTTCTTTCAAAACATAATATCGAACAAAATATGAATAAGTTACAAATTCACTGCCTTACTTAGTAAAGTTAGACTTTTAATATAAACATATGTATTTTGATTTTTAAGTACTTTAAAGATCTAATCCTGCCTATTAGTAATAATATTGTGTATTTATTTTATAATAATTCACTTTTCTTGTAGATTATGGGACACATGGATGTTATTACAATAATTAGTGATGGATTCAATGTATACTTTCCAACACTTATACTTGCTGTATGTTTAGCAACTTATTTTAATGTGGGAACACGGATACTATCTATATTAGGATTTCCTCAGTTTTTGGAAGATGATGATTTGGTAACCGATTATATTCAAGAAGGACGTTTGCTTGTTGTTCGAGGTTAATTGTGCACTATATTTAATATCTAATAAGAATCGTAATTTATCATCAAATATTTTTCTTTTTAATTTAGAAAAAGAAAGACGTGAACGTAAACTTAAAGGTAATGAAATGCGTCGTAAATATAGGGAAAGGTCACAACTACCAACCACAATTAATAATGATGTTGAAGAAAGTATGTATAATATATTTATTTTCATTAACATAATTATATACTAAATAACTAATGAATATTATTAGGAGTTCCGCCATCTCGAAAAGAAAATATGAAATCATATTTGTTGGATAACGCTGATCCCATTGATCGATCTTATCAAAGCTATACTGCTAATAATACTTCTGATGTAGAAAGACAACTGCCCCGTGTGAGTACTAAACCAATTAACAGTGCATGGGAACCACCAAGAAATATATTTAGTGATCTGTAAGTTTTTAAATTGTATACTGTACAGTATATAACTGACATTTTTTTTTTATATTATTATTAAGACTATCTATTTCAAAAGAAATATTATTTTTGTCATAAATATCTTAATTAATAATTTATTAGAATTGGTATTTACAATTTAGTATATCATATAATTGAATTATAAAAATGTCTGTTTTTTTAAATAAATAATATACTCGTGAAATTATTGTATTTTGATTAAAAAAAAAAATTTTAGGATGAGTAAGAATATTGAATGGATTGTCATTTATGTAGATAACATAGATCATGATTCATTAACTGTTCTGCCTGTTCCCTCCAAAATAATGTTCTTTATAAATTTTATAATAGGTACTTTTACTCTAAAATCAAAATTAAGCTAGTTTTACTTGCAGTAGTAGATCCAGAGAGACACAGGAGCATATGTCCCTCCAGTCAATTAAAATTGAAAAATGCATGTATTGGTAAATTATTCCAAAATATTTTGAATATGAAAACGTGATGAAGAAATATTGAACACAACTCTAAAATATGAATGTATGGATCCACCGCTATAAAGATATTATTATATTTTGTTTATCATTATTCGGTAGATACTATATAATATAATAATACATGTCTTGTATTATAATAACGTATGGATATTATAATATAATATAGTATAAATTATTATTAGTCTTAAAAGTGAATAATAATAATTTAATCAAACATATAAACAATAGAACTAAAAATTTCACAAAAAATCTCTCTTATTTTGAAAATGCTGGTATATATAAACTTAAATGTATTTGCAATAAATTTTATTCAAGTAAGACAAATAGAAATTTTAAAATAAGATATAAAGAACACACATTTAAATTTAAAAAGACTACCTGCCCCTTATTCATATTTGAAATCGTGTTTTAGAAAATACTATAATACTAGCTATTTAACACTATTGTTAAGGACATAGTACAATGCATAAAAAAAAGAGTTTGTCTGGTCACCATATATATAGTTAATGATGAATTTTTAATTAGAAATTATAATACACTTATCATTATACTCCAGGCGATGCATTCATTCATTTATTTTTATATTTATTTACAAGTATTAACCATTTCAATAATTTTGTTATTGCTTTATTATTGAATAATTATGAAGAAAATATTTTAAAATTGATTAAGAAGTTGATGAATATTGATGCTTTTAAAAATGTATACGTGGTCATGAAATGTCAATACATTTGTAAGGATTCAAAACAGAAACAAAATAATTTTGCTATTATAAATAGGTTATAGTTATTAAACATTTTTCAAAACAATATTATACAAACAATTTGAACTTAGTCGTGATCATTCAACGGAAGTATGAAAAACCTTCAGATGGCCACACTAGTAGCAACCGACTGACTCAAACTTAGACATCCAAATCTACTATTAAAACCCATTCAATCCTTTAATAACAAGTCATCGTTTTTATAAATATTCGTTGTTATCCTTATTAATGTAATTTAACTATTTTAATTATTTTATTTTTGACCTAGTCGTGTTTAATATATTATATTCTATTAAATAGTTGTTAATATTGAAATATAATGGCATACAATAAATAAATAGTCCACTGAGGTCAGAGTACCTACCAGTTAAAAATGACAAAAATCTCGCAAAAAATCCAAAATTAAAATGTCTATAAATAGCTCAAAAATATCACAAATGTTTTGAAAATGTAATCACGTCTAGAAAAAGCAAAATATACATTCTTCTATTTAAATTTTAAGTCTCTACAAATATTTTTAACTGAATTACAACAAAAAAAACAAAATTTAAAATAATAAAAGCATTATTTTCTTAAATTGTTCTCAACTATTATAAAAACCGCTTGTAAAATCAAAAAATTACCCTCTAAAGTACCAGTAAGATAAAATTTCTTTCAGAAAAGGTGCTACACTTGAAAATTAGAACAAGATTTCTTGTAATAAGTGTGCACACAATGTAAAAAAATTTAAAAAATTACTACATTACCATATAATTTTATTTTTTCAAACAATTATATCCACATATAGTAGGTACCCACCAAATAAAAACGACACAAAAAACAAAATGCCTATAAACCATTTACCAATTAAAGCCCGCTTCTACATTTTAATAGTATATATATTTATATATTAACTTTATTTTTAGGAGTTGTAAACAGCGATGAATACTTAATAGGAGCTGTTTGTTCCTTTCTATGGATTCCTTTTTATAGACATCACAACCCAGAACCCAGTTGCATTCACTCGTTTTAATTAACAATAAGCTACGTAAAATATCAAATTTTTCGTTTGAATAAATAAAAATAATTTATAACATATGTAGACAGCCGTTAATAATAACACATTTTCAGTATTAAAATACCTATCACCCATTGTGTGTAATCCACCAGCTGCTGAGATGTAAACAACGCACTGTAGCACTGATTGTGCCGGGATTATCATCCGTAGTAAATACGACAGTATACAGCTGATGGGAGGGTGATGATAGCTGGTTCACCGCTTATATCCACCTTTGTCTAGAGCACGAATTAAGATATATGTATGTATAGGTGTATCTTAATTTGTGGTCTAGGGCACAATTTAAAATAATATCTTGTTTTATATCTGCGTGGGTATCATTTATTTGTCCTTAATATTATCACAAGTAAAAGATATGGCGGCAAAAATTATTCATGACTGATAAAACTATATTTTGTTTGTCTCCATTGAGAATTTAAGTATTGACCACTTTCATCCAATTCAATAATTTCGCTGTATTCAAATTTAAATTTATCGTATTAACCTTCTTTAGTACCCATTTAATTAAGTAAGTATACGTGTAATAAGTATCAACCTAATGTTTATAAACAAATCAATACAACTCGAATTTGAATTTAATATCAATCCTATCAGTACTTTTACGTTCATTAAAGTACTTAACCTATAGTTAAAATATTAAATTTTATTTGTTTTTAGATAGCATCTGCCTTCAAAATTTAAGAAGATGGAGGATTTTTCTGACTCACCTATAGAGTGGGAGAGTGAATTGTATGAAGATCACCACCAAAATGAAAAATGGACTTTAAAACATAACATCATGTTATTAATAGACGCGTCAGAATCAATGTTTAATACATTTGGTAACTCAACTTTTTTTTCTACAAGTGTCAATATATGTAAAACTATTGTAATGAAACTTATAAGAAAGGGCGGAAATGATAAAATAGGCATTATGTTATTTGGGACAAATGATATAAATAAAAATGGTCCAAATTGTATTAAAATAATAAGTGAACCAAGAAAACCAACAATTGAATTTATAAAAAAGCTTGATGATCTTATGTCAGCTAATAAAACTAGATATGGACAGTCTCCACATACACCACTAGCAGATGCTTTGTGGTACAGTAACTATTTGATTAAAAAAATCAAAGAAAGTCAAAGCTGCAGTACTATCATGATCATTACATGTAATGATCAACCTAAAGTTGGTGATTCTAAAAAACAATTTAATCTAAGAAAAAGATTGGATGACATTGTTTTTAATGAAATTGATTTTAAACTTATTCCTATTGGAGCAAACTTCAACATGAAACTTTTTTATGATGATTTTTTTAAAAACTATGACAGTATTATCAAACCTACCAATGGGTTAGAAAATGTAGATGATATTCTGTCAGAAATTTATGAAAAAATAAAACATGGTAGATGTATATCATCAGTACATTTTTTTCTCAATGACAATATTTATTTTGGTGTTTCATTGTTCAATTTTTATACAAAATCAAAAATTCCTGCAAAAGTTAGATTGGATAGAAGAAGTAATAAACCCTTATTATCAAATAACCAAGTATTAGACATAGACACCAAAGAGGTAATATATAAATCAGAATTAGCAAAATATTGTTTAATTTCACAACAAAAAATAATATTTAAAAACGAAGATATTTCAGTTTTAAAAAGCAGCATCATAGAGCCTGGTATTAGATTACTAGGTTTTACAAAAAAAGAAAAAATTTTAATATCATACCACTTCAAAACATCTACTTTTATTCGACCCAGCAATAAAGTAGTAGAAAGTAGTTCAGTTTTATTTAATACTTTACTTGAGTCTTTGATAGAAATGAACAAAATAATTTTGTGTTTCATAAAAGTTCGTCATGGAGGTAGACTACATTACGCTGCTCTGATACCTCAAGCTGAAATTGTCGATGAACACGGTACACAAAGATATCCATCTGGTTTTCATGTTTTGTATTTACCATTTTCAGAATGTATCAGGCAAATCAATATACAATTGCATAATGATGTCAATATTACAGAACAACAAATGTCGATTGCAAATATGTTATGTGAAAAAATGTCTATTAATTATTGTCCTGCAATGATTAAAAATCCTAAAATAAATTTCCATTGGGCAATGTTGGAAGCAATAGCATTGGAACTAGAAATTCCAAATGTTTTAGATGAAACAATGTTAGCAAATGATTCAAATGAAAATAAATTGTGTACTTTGAAAAATCAAATTCATGAACAATTTTTCCCAAATGGATATAATGAAACCAAAGCTATTTCAAAGAAAAGAGAAACTTCTAGCTACAATGCTAAAAAAGTAACGAAAAAAATAAAAAAATAATTGAATCATCAAATCGTTGATAAATAAGGTACAATTTTTTTTTAAGAAATTACTAATCAATTATATTTATATTGTTAATTCAATGAAGTTTTTGTTATCTTCTAATGATGTACTCAATTAAGGTTTAGTATAGGAATACAATTATACTCCATTAAAGTATTTTCAAGTTCTTATATTTAATTGTAAGTACAATGTAAAATAATAAAACCTTTTATTTATATTTATTACTTATACAAATGCAATTGTAAATTTGTTGTTTATCGCTCAATAGAAGTTTTTTTTGTAATTAATAATTTTTTTCTTGATTTTTCAAAATGTATTTTAGATTCTGAGCAGAGCGAGGAATGTATTAGTTAATTTATATATTTTTTTTTTTTATGTGAATACTTTCTATCATAAAGCTGATTCTGATTATCAAGTGTATCACTTTTTCCGAAAATAAATGTTCTCTGGGTGGTACTTTAGAGAAGTCATTTTTGAAATTCTCATTAATATTCGAGATAATAAAAAACCTAGTTCTTTAGGTTAAAAAGGTTGAATTTAAAAATGATGTTTTCATTGGCAACCGTTTTTCTTTATTTTTTGTATTATTCAATTTTTATTATTTTAATGTTTTTTAAACAATCGTTATAATAGAAACGCTCATTGTTGTAATTATTTTTACCATAATATTGTTGTCAACAAAGCAACAATATCAACTGAACTCCACTAAGAATTGTCTTTTCATTAGCAATGGTTTATCGCTACTTACAGATATAAATTGAATTCCCGTTTGTATCCTACCTCTCACCTACAATAGTACAAAGTATGTCCGTCCTTTTTTAAATATGCTAACATATTATGTAGCTTTTTGATAAAATCATGAATAAATATTGAATAAAAATATAATGTTACCTATAATAAATTTTTACCGTTTTATAAAATAGTAATAGTAATAAAAATAAACGTAGGTGGAGAAGAAAACTGAAAAGAGGTAAATGGATGCGATTAATATGAGGACAGCTGGTGTATGCAAGGTGGAAGATGATCATGTCGAGTAGAAGTTTAGAATGATGGTGGTAAACCCCATGTTATTGTTATTCATCATGTACAATTATGTGCATAATTATAATTTGGCACATAAGCTAAAAATTATAAAGTAGAAAGCATTGATGGATAAAAAGTAAAATAGTAGTTTATTTTGATTGGGTATTTTATTAATAAATCTGTTTTATATATGTGTGGCTATAAAGTAAATTGCACAAAAGAATAACCTTCATTCATAACCTCTACCAACAGACCCCAAAAAATATTTGTTAAATTTTCTATTTCTATATAATTGGCCCTTAAATCACATGGATAGGAATATATGGCCATTGGTTAGTATTATTAAAACCGTCTTATTTAGTGCATGTACTGCAATAAATACAAAACACACATATATGGATACATATGTAATATTATTGCCAAACGTACAATTAATAATGACAAAAAATATATATTACATATTTGACTTCATACTTTTACTCAACAATATTATTCAAATATTAATCAATATATAACAACAATAAAGTTTGAAAAAGCGAACAATAAATAAAATAATGGAATAATGGTTATTATAAATAATGTAAATATGATAACCTATCTAATTATTTTTAATTAATATTACATAATCATAATAAATGTAGTTGAAAAACAAAAGAGCACATAGATTATAATTTTCTAATCAATTTAATGAGATAATTTTTTTGAAACTCAAATGAGAAAATGATTTATATTTTATTTAATGATAAATATATAAAAGAAGATTTTGAATAACAATGGTTGCCTAGTGCTCGTTTGATAGCAACATATTTGTACACTCACAAACAAATAACATAAAAAATATAATTACTTAAAATTATTTTTTTATAGCTATTATATCTAATAAAATTGAATATAGGAAAAGGAGACAAATATTGAATACATTTATGTAAGTAGAACAAAATATTTCAAACTTTTTTTTGGTGAAGTATTTTTAAAAAAAAATTGTAAACCAAATTTTATTTTATTACCTTATAAACATAAAGAGAAAATATTACAATATGAATGTCAATGAAATACTACAATGTTTGATAATATAAATAAACTAAGAGTATACATATATCATTTACATATTAAGTTGCAATAAATTGCATAAGTGCAAAGTTAAAATTATTCAATTGTTTAATATTTTATCGGCACTATATCCTTTGCATAACTTTTCCTTAATGATCACAAACAAATTATGCAATTTAAAGTTTATTATAATAAATTAATGAAAAAATAAATATAATTATTATTCAAGTGTTATTCTAACAATATGTATGAATTCAATTAATTTAAGAATAACTACTACAAATATACATAACAAACAAAATTTGAAAATTTAAATGCTTTGAATTGTTCTGAACAGTCCGACTTTGTACTTAATTATTTTTTATCAAATTTAACATCAGTCTACCTCTGCACTTATGATACTTCATAATCATATTTGCAAAACACTTATATCACACAAATCATGGATCTTAGTATATTACAAAATAAGAATAGTTTGTATAATATAAAATAATAATTTGTCACGCATACATATAAATATCAGTTTTAAAACATTAATTTAATCAACAATAAAAAGTGAATACCAATAATATTGTAAGCTCTAAAATATATAACAAAAGTTATTAAGATTTTCATTTAATTAATAATAAATATATAAAATGATAGGCCTCTGAGAACACATTAAAATAATCAGTTCGAATCGTCAAAATATAATTTGGTCACTATATATATATATATATATATATATTTTTTTTTTGTCTTTTGACTGAATAATTTGTAGTAGAGTGTTATTATTAAATAATATTATACTATTCTTTAATGGTAATTAATAATTCTTAAAACAAATTAATGACAAAAAACACATAAGAGTATCATTTGTAATATTAAATTGTAGTTTGATAAGAATAATTCTTAACAAATAACAGAAAATAATATTATTGTTGATCAACAACTAAATTTTTACAATGAGCAAAACTAATAGATATATCAAATACTGTAAAATACTTTAATAAGTAGCACAATTTACAAATTCAAAGCTTGGAAGATATATTGAATTAATAAAAATAAATAAACATATATATTAGACTTAGATAATAGCAAAAATTATTTACAAGTTGGTTTCAAAGGAACGTTAATCACTCAATTGAACTTTATTAAATTTTTAATAGACTTTATTTTAAAAAATAGTTCACTTTCGGTAGATTATTTGATTTTTTTTCATGGAAAATTTAAATAAAATAGATTTTTAACTTTTAAACGTGTATAATATATAAACTTTCTTTTAATCGCCCGTCCTTAATTCAACTAATAACACAATTTTACATTCTGTGATGTTTAAATCAATTTAATTTCTAAACATCTAATAAAGTATTAATAAACATACTGATAAGTACCATGAATATTATCACAGATGACAGGGAATTGGAAAATGGCTAGATGGGAACAAAAAAATGTACACTATTTAAATTCTAACTAAATATTTTATATCATAATGCAGTGATTGCCTTTAAACGATCACATAAGTAATATTAAATTTTTTAAATAATAACAATATTTAATATTGTCATTTAAGAGAAAAATATTATACTTTGAAGCAAATACTTTATAAGGCTAATATCTGATTATGTAACAACAAATTTGATTCAAATCAAACAATATAAATTAAATATTCAATTTATAATAATAGTAATACATAAAATTTCACTACTTTAAGTCATACTTAATACTAAAATGAATATTTTAGACTTAGGGTGTTATGTATTGTAAAGAAGCAAGAAATGTATCAATATCAATCATCAAAATGTAATAATATTCAAATTTTAGAAGAATAAGAGTTAAAGCATTGTGAGAAGATATAAACAAGTGTCCATACTTTGCTTAAAAGTTCTGTTTGAAATTCACAGTTTCAGCAAAAATCATTTGTTTTAATGTTTCTCTGGGTAAGTCATCTAACTCTGTAACGAATCCAAATGGTTCTTCTGCTATAGGCTGCAAAATATATTTTAACGATTTTAATAAAAAATGTATTTATTTGCTATCACAAACTATTAATACAGTGAACTCTATGTAATTTACAAATTACTAAATAATGGTTGGGTTGCTTTAATAACCTTGGCATTAATTCTTTATTGAATTAGTCTTTCTTTATTACCTTCTTTATTGTAAAAACTCTATAACAAAATAAGACTCTTGGTCCCTTAAAAATTTGTTATAAAGAGTTTTCACTGTGTTTGTTAATTTGAATCCTTATACAATCATCTTATTTCTTAAGAAATTGTTGATAGGATATTAAATGGAGTGAGAAAAGTATTAGTTTTAAAACAGTTGATAAACTTAACATTATTGGCTTTTTAAAAATGTATGCATAAGAATGATTTTATAAAACCGCTGTAAGACAAATATTGATTCAAAAATTCAGTAGTGGATATTTTACTTATTTAATTCTAAAATTAAATATTCAATACATATAAAATTTTAGCTATTAAGTTGTTATGATATTATTAAAATCTACTGTTATTTTAATTTTTAAAATAATATAAATATAAAGAACTAATTTTAAAATATATTATTTATCACATATTCACCATTACAAAAAAAGAAAAAGAAAAGTAGTACAATTGTATTTAAAATAGCAATGATATAATGAGGGAATCTGATAAAAAAAATACATACTTAAATTATGAGTTATATCTCTAAAAAAAATATGATAATTTTGTGATTATCATACACTGATAAAATGAGAATTGTATTATTTAAAACTTTACAAGACAAAAAAGTTTAAAAATATTAATTGAATAAAACACCAAAGATTATGGGATGGTAAACAACCATTTGTAAATTAAACTGAGGATAATGTTTATAAAATGTATTTACTAGAGGTTGAATTAAAGGTAAATAGTAATAATGTGTAAAATAATACAAATTATACTTAGTAGCGAAAATTGCTCATGCCAAAATGTCAAACTCAGAGTTTCATTTGTTTAAAACTTTAATATATAAGGCCTTTTAATATATTATAGTATAATTATCCAATTTTATCCGAATAGTATATGAATATCTAAATATATCCGGGTTACGGATATCTAAATTGATTTTTATCCATATTTTAAAATATCCGAATATCCCAAGAGTTCCAACACTAATCCATATAGCGTTTATACAAATTTACCAGACCTTAACTATAAAACATAGAATTATTTATAATATATTAAAATATAACTTGACAACATTTCTCATAAATCAGTTTTTTTTTTAAAAAAAAAAAAAAGAATATTAGTGCATTTAAAATAATCCTAAAAAATGTCATTAAAACCTGAATATGGACTTTGATGATACCCTTAATACAATATTACAAAACTTTCCAACTTATAAATTTAATAATGGACAGGAAGGGGTAGCCCTAAAGAGGTAACGCAAGTAACCTATATGAGGTATAAGATGATAGTTTCACATGTCTACAAAAAAACTGAAACATTGTCTAAAAGTAATGCATGTAAAATGAATAAGGCAGAAATTAGATTTTTAATTTGACATTTGATTAAGTAAAAGATTAAAATAAAAAACTTTCTAACAAAATAAAAAATAGGCTTCAAAAAAATAACAAAAATACACACAAAGTAATATAATTCTATCATTATGAAACAGAAATTGTCTTGGTGGATTTGAAGTAAATTTCATTTCTATTTTTTTAATTGTTATGGAATCATTTAATCTTGTTTTTAACACCATTTTCAATTTTTTAATCCTATTACCTTTAACTGAAGTTAGTATCCTTTTGGATTTTTAAAAAGCAACTCCCTTACTTTTTGATCGCAGATTCAAATAGAGTATTTTTCATTTTAAATACGCATAACACTTATTTCAGATTTACCATTTATAAGTTAACATTAAAATTGAGACTGGAAGTGTAGTTTTTAATTTATCATTTAAAAACAAATGGGCATACTTCGCACAGTGGCTGGGCCCCCTGTTGTAGGTAAGAAGTTGGGAAGATAGAAAGAAAATTTAATTTATATCTGTATTCAAAAATTAACTGCTCAAAAAAAAATGGTTCTGAACAGGATTCGGTTACACCCCTTTTGAAGGCAGCGATATTTATGATTTGAAAATAATAAATTTCATAATTTTTCCCAGTTTTACCCATTTGTTATGAAAACTCCTGGGAAACTCAAATATAAGACTTTCTGAAAATACCACTCCAGTCAAATTTCCTTTCAAAAAAAGTACACTTAAAAATGGGGGCAAAATTTTTGGTAGTTGTTCACAGGAAAAAAATAAACATCATTGTAAGATCAATACGTTCCTCGCTCCGTTCAGAATTTAAAATAAATAAGTAATTTATTACTTTTCCTTTTAATATTATTGTTATGTATATTAAAATTCCTAAAAAAAAAACTATCTATTTGAATCTGTGATTGAAAGAGAAGGTTTGCGGTTTAAAAGTCTAAAATAGATACCTGTAATGAGTTTCAGGTATAATAATTAAGAATAAAAAATTGAAAATAAAATAAAGGTTAAACAATTCTAAGATGATTATAGAAAAAAGAGAGAAATTAAATTCACTTAAAATCCTTTAACAAAAATGCTAGTTCATGATAAAAGAAATCGACCTATATGACTGAAAACTTAAGGCTTTACATTTTATTTAAAAAGCCATATAAATTTCCAAGCAAAAGCAATACTTTTAAGATATTTTTTTAAAATCTGTTTAAAGGTTGAAACATAGATGTAACAGTGTAAACATATTGGCGGGGCTGAAATCAAGATTCTAAAATAAATCTTTTAAGTATTTTTCAAATTTTAAAAGCTTTTTGTGTTTTTAATCAGTATTTCTCATTTTATTTTTGAAGTCTGTTTTTTCTTATTATTATTGTTCAATAACCATACCTCATCAGCAGGATCATAATACTGTTCAAGATATGGATGTGCTAGAGCCTGTTCGACTGTTATTCGGTTATTGGGATTAAATGTCAGCATTTTATCCAGTAAGTCCAGGGCTTTTGGATCTGCATTAGGATAAAGTTTTGAAAATGCTATTTTTGGTTTAAAAGGCAATGATTGTAAATAACTTCGAGCCTAAAATAAATACATAACAATTAAAAAAAACAAAATACACAAAAATTACAAGTAATTAGTTAAGTATATTTTTTACATACTTTTTCATTAATAATACACAATAAATCTGCTGTAGTTGGTGATCCAAGTATTCCCAGTATATGATTTAACTGATCTAAATAATGTTTACCAGGAAATATTGGTCTGTTGGACAACATTTCAGCTAAGATACACCCAACTGACCACATATCAATTGATTTAGTGTATCCCTAAAAAATACATGTATTTCATAAAAAATAAATAGTAATTTTATAAATTATTAGTTAGCATAAATGACTACTTTTGAATTCAACATAATTTCAGGAGCACGATACCATCTTGTAGCCACATATTCTGTAAGAAATCCAGTGTGATCGTGATCAGGATCTGCAACTCTTGCAAGACCAAAATCACATATCTAGAAATTAAATTACACCATTATAATTAAATACAATAGTTAAATAAATACATTTTTTTATTTTAAAAAAACAATATATTTACAATCTACACAAACATGGTATAATAAATAAACCTGATGGCCAATTGACAATGACACTTAAAATTAGAAAAGGAAGGGTCCAAGCAGTACCACCTGACAAATTTAAGTTAATATTATTATGCTTTTAGCAAGTCCCTAGGCCATTGCCTTTTTAACCTTCAAAGAATACTAGTGATAGAAGAAAGTCTTTTAATTAGCTGAATGAAATTTGAGTGATACTTTGAATAGAATTTGGTATAATAAGATTTGGTCAGGTCGTTGAGGATTATTAAGTTCAGGTCTTAGTGGAAATTTTTGTTGGTTACATACAGAAATTAATACGCAGAGGTAAATAGATTGAAATGCTTACAGGGTTTAAACACATTTTATAACTATTACAATTAAAACTTTACAAAATAACTTTTAGAATATTTGAATTATATTAAAAATAATAATACTAAGTATGTACTTTGAGATCACACGTAGTGTTGAGAAGCAGATTACTAGGTTTGAGATCGCGGTGGAGAACATTTGCTGAATGTATATATTTCAGTCCTCGGAGAATTTGATAAAGGAAATAACAAATATGATCATTACTCAGTCTCTGGAATATATATAAAATACAAATTATTATAATGACTGTATTTTCAATATAAATCAAACAAATAAATGATTTTTCTCAGAATCATACATTAAAAAAAAAGTAATACTTAACCTTACCCAATCTTTTTCAGTAGATACTTAACAAAAATGATACAAATCTGATGAGTAGTTATTTATAATTTTATATAAAATTTAATCATTAATAGGATAAAATAGATAAGTAAAACTAACCTGAGTTTTTAAAAGCTTATACAGATCAGTCTCCATCAAGCATTGAACAATATACACATCTTTCATTTGTTCAATGGTATTAGCTCGTAAAATATTTCTTATATCAATTATCTACAAAAAAAAAAAATAATAACAATAATAAAACAGATGTACTAGAATAAATTATTAGTTGAAAAACATGTAGCTCAAGAATGAAATATAGAAAAATTATAATACGTCATAGTTCAAAGGAATACACCCAATTAATAACAACCCGGAAAAAAAAATTATTTTGATCAACACATTGAGCTGTAAGATATTACCATAAATTATTAGAGCTATAAAGACCAAAGCCACACTAAAAGAAAAAATGATTTTATTAATATTGTTTGTCATACATACATTTTCGTGTTTAAATCTAGTTAATATTTTTATTTCTCTCAGCGTCCGCTGACAATATGTTTGATGTTCAAATGGTGAAATTTTTTTGATGGCCACTTTGCAATTGGTTTGACTGTCATATGCCGATCTGTAATATGAGTTTTACATATTATACTGTTATAGTAAATTGGTATATTTTCAGTGAGAAGACATATGCAATCATAAAAATAGATCTTTATATCTCTCTATCACTAACAACATTAGCCCAGTAAAGGTTAATATAATCACTGTATTGTTATGGAAAATGTAACTCTTTATAATTAGATGCTGGATCGAAACATAAAACTCACACCCACTTAACAGATTCTTGATATTTCAAAACCTCATAAAATTAAGTCAGTTATAGATAATAAATTTAAAAAATGAAAACATTATAAAATTGTCAAATTACTTTTAATATGCTTGAAAAATAATTTAACAATTCAGAATTATAAAATAAATAATTTTCTATATATTTAAATAATAAAGATCTATGATGCTAATTTTATGTGTAATCCATAAAAATAATATCATTAAAATTAATAATAATATCTCAAGTGTAAGGTTATAAACATCATTATTATGTTAAATCCGTTTTTTTATTTCAATACATTTTTAGTCAATAAGTACATGTTCATATAAGATTAAATAGAAAAATATTTTTAGTTTATCTTTAAAATTTTCCCAGTTCAGTACATACGAAAACCAATAAAAATATCATAAGGAATTAGACATTAACTAAATCATCTAACCCAAAATGCTGACATTGAGATAGATATATGGCATGTACCTATCTAATATTATTTTAAAAGTTCGAAATTAGAAACCAAATTGTGAAAATATTTGTTGGTAGATCCGTGTTATCTCGACAACTACCACAATTTATTAAATAATGAAAAAAATTATATATTCGTATTATATCGTTGACATTTGATTAAAATTAAGTTAACATTTTAAAATGGCAAGCAAAAATTAAATAATTAGTATAGTAAATAAAAACGGGGGTAAAAATAATGTATACTTATAAAAAACAATCTACTATTTCAAGCAAAAATAAAAAAAACATTTGATTGATAATTTTTTTTGTGGAGGAAAGTTGGTTTTAATATCAATTAAAATTCTATCAAATGGTGGATCGTTTGCAAGGTTTTGTTGCTTCCTTTTCTGACGATAGCAAATTAAAAAAATTCTTGTTGACAAAACAAAGCATGTAGGTACTGTATAGTATATTATAATAACTGACGACCATAAGCACAACTAGACCATCAATTCTGGGGGTACTAAAATTATGGACACAATAAAGACCTATGACTCCTATGCCCCCACAATCCCCTTTACATGACTCTTAAAATAGTTACTAAATCTTTTATTTACAAATTTATCATGATTATTTTAACATTAATTTTTCATACATGCATGGTCTGTGGGAAATCTGTATTTTGTTCTGTTCATGAACAATGAAATACATGGATAAAATATTTTGTCATTACTATAAAAAACCTGATTGGGTTTTTTGAGGGTGCTAAAGATCCCCTAGCCCTTCCTAGTTGCGCCTATGCTAACAACTACAATATGGAAAATAGGACAACTGTCAATTAACTTACAAAATAAATACAGACATAAAATTATAAATTGTATATTACAGATGATACAGATTACGATGCGGGAATATACATTTATAAATAGATTCCTATATGGAGGTAGTCGATATAACCCAGATGATTCTAACAGGTAGTCTTGGAAATATTTGGGTAGTCAAGATAACACAGAAGTACCTATTTGTCTTATAATCAAAAATAATTTTACTAATGATAAGTATACACAAAACTATTTTTAATAGATTTCATTTATTCAAAAAAAGAAATAATAATAATGAAATTACACAAATTGTGTTATATAAACATGAATTTAAGGAAATAAAAATTTGAGGAACCACCAGAGTTTAAGCAAATAGTGATTTTAGTGTAGGCTGTACAACAATAATAAAAATATGTTGTAAATAATATTTTAAATGTAATTTTTGGAATAGGTAATAAAAGGTAAAAAATTGTTATCTACTAACTAAATATTAAAGTGTTATTAAATCTTATATAAAAAAGTATATCTATACAAACTGATAAGATACAGGACGTTTAAAATATTTGAATTATATTATAGTTAAATAATTTAAACGATGAGTTATATAATATTTAGTTGAGTACACAAATATTTTATATAATTGATTAAATATTTAAAAGAAGTCTACCTATAATTGAAAACATATTGTACAAATTTAAGTATTTCAACATGAGGTACCTACTGAATGCATATTATTAGACTATCTACCAAACTTAACTATTATTATGAGCAAGTATAAAATGAGTAGTATGATGGACCCCTTATTTTAATTAACATACCACAATAATATGAAAATACTTACACGACCATTCCGTAAGCTCCTTCGCCAATGTAAGATAGATTTGTATACCTTGGGCCAACATCAAAAATATGTCCCCTAACCATTTCTGAATTTGACTGGCCACCACCGACAGCATTGTCGGACGACATATTACCTAGTATCTGCACCTGCACCCTACGTAAGTCAACAAATACTATTAAGCAAAACGAGACGAAAATAATAAGAAAATAATAAGAGAAATATTTTATTTTTTTTACATTCAATAAACACCGAGTAAACTTACTACTGGGCAAAGGCGGCCGTACGAGAGCTTACACGGCACACACGACGTAATCTCACCAAAAGCCAATTTGCGCGTCTGTGTATAATGTACTAATGTGAATGTTGTGAGATGAGACTATGAGTAATGAGTTACGAGTAAGTGTATGCGAACCGTGCGTATATTGGCGAGTGAGTAAAGGTGTTGTATACTATACTCGTATTGAGTCTGTGTGTGTACATCTGTATAATAATATGTTATATTGTTGTATGTATGTTTGTAGTTGTAGTACTGTGTATGTGTGTGTTGTACTGTTGTGTATAGTGTATGTGCGAAACGAGTGCGTGTGCGATGTGATATCCACGTTTGATTGGCCATCAAAAGATAACGCTACTGTAGGCCTTTTGACGTCATTTCAAACAATTGGTTCTCAAAATGCTATCCTGATAACTGTAATGAACTGTGCTGATTGTAACGATGATAAGAAAACAAGTGATATCAGTGTATTAAAAATTCAAGTTTTAAACTTTTAACCATGAATTTAAATATTTCATATTTTATTCGTGCTTTTAACAGTTTTAACCAAAGTTGATTAGGCGACAATATTGTAATTTTTGAGTAACTAACTGGCTTTTCGTGCAATGTGTATAGAAACTACCATAGACTAAAGATAATACATTATAATACGCAATACATTAGATCACAGTATATATTTTTATGCTATGATCTAGGTAGGGAAATATCGTAAGAGAGTAGAGACACGTTGTCAATATATTTTTTGTACTGTGATTCATTTCAATAACCACCGACCGGTCGATGATTCGCTTAATTAAACAGACTTGTACGCGCTCCTACTTATGAATCTTGGATTTGCTTTTGTTTGATGAGTCATTACTCATTATGCAGATGATATATAATTATAAAAACAGTATAATAAATAATTATTTTTGCTGTATTAGTTGTTTTCAAAATACTACATACCTACCTACATAATAATAAGTACGAACATACTTATTTGTTTCTTACGTTATCATTTACAGATTCGTCAATACTTTGCTACTTAATCATGTGCATTAAAATAGTCATTCGGGTGACAGTGACTGGTTATTTCAGGTTATAGAATTTATCCAGTCAGTTTTATTAGTAACCCAATACCCATTACTATAAGGTTATAAGTTACCCATTCAGTATACTAATTAGTAGTTAGATGCCTATTTACTTTCATAATAATCCATTTTATTATTGCACAGATATATGTTGTTATAAAATCTTTTTGTAATTTCAATAACTTATTAACTTGTTTTCATTAAAAGTTTACTCAAGCTGTTTCAAATGAAATGTTGAAAATTTCATAGAAAATCGTTTGTAAATAAAAACTAGAAAAGTATTATTAATTTTAACGATATCTACCTACCTACGGTTTCAGTGTAATTTCACATTTACAATGCCGATATAATTTTAGGTGCATTATTTCAATAACCAGAACATTTAAGTCTTAAAAATATGAGTCCGCCTTATCTAAGTTATATTATACATATAGAGTGTAACAGAACTATTTGACATTTTTACATTGTAGTTTCATATAAAAATGTCAAAGTCCAGTGACACTCAGTATATTATTAACTAAACTTTAATATAATACTTATTTATTATTTTATAGTGGTCGATAATAGCTAGGTAATAAGTATAGGTAAATAGATATAATCTTTTGACTAGGGTTATAATAATAATAATATAAATACTGTAATTAAAATTTGATGACAAATTATAACAATTTAAAATATCTACAATTATAAATTATAAATTACTATAGAATGTAAAAGAAAACACATTTATGATTCTGATTATAATATTTATAAATTGTTTAATTATTTGTTATTAACTGATTAGGTATAAAGAGAATTGTATTATTTGAACTACCTTCATAGTACGAATTCATTTTTCTGAGTATTAAATATATTAACGATATAACCTATATATAAATTAACAATGTTAACATTGTTTATTTTTAAAAAGTTGATTGTTAGAAAACTCTTGAGTTTAATTTTTAAGCAAACAAATGTTTATCACGACAAAATTAATTTACAATCAATGCATTTCTCTAATAAATAACGACTATTTAAATATTATAGGTAGTGAAAACTCATTTTCACACTAATACCTATTAGACAATATTTAAATGATGCAATTTCATATAAATAGGTAACTATAATTAGTACAATAGTACCTACTCGAGTACTTACTAATTATTATGATCAGTTGATTTGCTCTACTATGTAACTATATCATAATACAAATCTACGATGTACAAAACTTTGAAAATATATCTAAAATGTAATTTATGATTATGCACTGTCAATCTCAGCAGCACAGCTTCAAAGATTAATTAGGATAAAAAAAAATTTATGATAAACAATGGAATTTACCAACATTATTTAAATACCTAAGAATAAGTAGGTATCTACTACAAAACATTTTGCAATATTTCTAGGAATAAATTATAAATACCAAAAACCGTACATATTCATAATTAAAGCATAGATTTGTGTACAATACGCAACAAAAAGTATTAAAATATCTATGTTATACCTATTTATAATATTGGCTACTTATTAGCTAGCGAAATCACCATATCAATATCCACTTTTTGGTTCAAACAAAATGTATAAACCTTTAATTCATTGCATTTTTTATTTATACTTACACTTCAGCTTAATTATTTAAATTAAATAATTTAATAACTAACCCCAGCGCCGGATAAAATAAGAATAATAACACAAATATGTTCGAAAGTACAACGAATTGTATTCGAAAGTAGATAATTAGAGTTGGGAAAATCATGGATTATTATAAGAGAACGTGCTGCCCCCTTAATTTGACTGTAAAAACTGTATGTATAGACCAGTGTTTCCCAAATCGTGGGAGGGGGGGTAAACAAAATGCTGAGGATCCACAAGCAGTCACAGTCACAAAGTAAAATTTGTATTCATTAAATAATTTGTATTTTACAATGTAAGGATAAAATAAAAGAATAATGACCTGTTACGAGGAAGGCCGTATTTAGAGGGCAGTTTCACAGTGTTTCCAAATGTAAACATGCCGGTCAAAATGTTTTAGTTACATGATATTTGAACCACCGAACCGATTTTTTTTTTTTGTCAGTACATCTATTAATTGGAAATTACAATACCTTCTACTAATATACTAATAAATCCTTAAAAATTATGAATTTGAATTTAAAATTTTCAGAAAATAAGAAAAATAATCTAATTAATAATAATAATAGCTAAAATCGAATAAAATGTTAAATATATTTTAGATTTTGAGTGGAACGAGGAATGTATTAGTTTTACAATGATGTTTACTTTTTTTTTATGTGAAGAAACTTTTTTTACCAGAAAGCATACTCCGATTATCAAATGTAGTACCTTTTCTGAAAGGAAATTTTCTATGGGTAGTACTCTAAGAGATCATTATTTTAAATTCTCGTTAATATTCAAGATAATGAGGAAAATCTCGATCTTTAGGTTAAAAATATTGAAAAATTAAAATTAAGGTTGTTATTGGCAACCGTTTTTATTTATTTTTTATTATAATTAAGTTTTTATTATTTAAATATTTTTTAAACAATCATTGTTGTCATGGAAACGCACATTGTTGTAATCATTTTTACCATAATATGGTATACTTATATTGTATATTGTATTGAAGCGAACTATCCATACCTCATTTAATAATAAAATTATAAACATTTTGTTATTCAGTGTTTCTATTAATAATTATCAATAATCTAGATGACGTTTTATCAAGTAGCGATTGGAGTGGTGTATTGAGCTCACTCTCAGTTGCATTCATTATGGACGGATACACGAGAATCCCTTTATATGACGAGAAAAGTTTATGGCCATGTTTCAATATAAATTTCCGAGTTTTATTATACGCATCCACAGACATATTACATTCGTAATGTAAAGGTCTCCGATCTCTGATATATACTAAAGCTTTTCGGGTGACATTTCGGTTTGTTTATGCTTTATGTCATTTCATTTTTTTAATATTTTTTTTTTGCTTTGCTGGGTGTACTTACCATTTCTTTAATTAATTTTTCAGCCTCAAAATTACCTTTATTAAATAAACTAAAAGACGCTGCATGTACAAGTTTTAATGGTGGTACTGAAGATCTTAATTCTAACATTTTTTGTCGTTTAGATCTTTTGGAACTAAAATTTAAATTTTTCCTCGGTCTACCAAGATTGCAGTTTGCTACCTCTAAAATATAATAAATAGGTGTAAAATTTTAAAATATTAATTTTACTAAAAGTATATCAAAAAAAAGATAAAAATACACGGCCATATTCATTACAAAAAATTTGAAAAAAAAATATTTACTTTGTAACACATCGAGTATACATTTATACATGGCATCAGAAAAATGTAAGTGCAATCAATTGTGATTTTCTTTCAGAAATCGGTCAATCATTCTTGAACTAGAATCTTATATATAAAAATATTTGTAATGTTGTAATGTGTTTTAATTTTTAAAAATAAGAGTCATACATACTTAAATTATACACTTAACTACTTAATTCAAATAAATATACATATTACCAATTAAAAAATTATATATTTAAATGTTTTTTAACAATATTAATAATTGAATCTTGAAACTTGGTATCTTTTTGATCAATTTTTAAAATGTTTAATTATAATCAATAATGATTTAGGTTCTTTCAAAATAAGATCATGGCCCATCGCACGCATAATAATTATTTTTGAAGCCATATTAATTTAGAAATTGTAAAATCCGTCAACGTTAAAACTGCGTAACACAGTGTTTAACCGTACAACAACGAAAACTGCAACTATGTGCAGCTAATGTAAGCTAATGCAAGTTTGTGCTTTATTTATAACTAGTTAACTACCGTGTTTTATTAAAAACAAAAAATTAAATTGTATACTTACTTACTTAGGAAAATAACTTTGCCCGATTTATCCATCTTAGATACCAATTCAGTTTTATAGCTAGATATTTAATATTTAACTGGTATACCAGAATTCGTTTAGTTATTGTTTGTATTGGACATCTTAAAGTAAAATTTCAAAAAGTGATGTTTATCATACTAAAAAACTATATTGTATGCGCTCTTGATAGTCTCATAATAGAAGCTGAACTACTATAAATGTCCCCAATATCAATAATAATTATATTGTTCTTATACAATTATTAAGGTTGTTATTCTTTTGGTACGTACCGAGTTTTTATATCACTATTGTCAAACATAATATCAAATAATAAAATTGAATATATTTTTTTTTATGTTCTAGATTCGTTGATATTACTAAACTGAACTTTATTATCCATAACATCCATAAATGGTAAATCCCGAGCTTTATATAAATACATATCTATAATTTGTGTCTATTTTTTTTTTTTTTTTGAGATACGAAGTAGTACTTACTAATTTGAGACTGAATCTAATAAATACTATAATATTAATTGACAACTGGTTAGTTCTTATGGGTGTTCAAAAGACAACGTTTCTCATTAGGTAGTTTAAATAAAATTAAAATTATTTTGTCAAAGACCATATAATAGTAAGTCATTATCATTGAATTACATTTATTTAATATAATAATATTATATTTTATTCACAAATAACTTAATATTATTAAAATAATGTTACTGTATTTTAAATCTAACAGGTGAATTTTGTTACATATTATAATATTATGGATGTTATTATATTATTATGGTATTATACAATTATTATCATGAACATAGTTAAATTATATTAAATAATACTACCAATTATTATTAAGACCTTAATATAGATAAGTAGGTACATATTTAGGTTTATTTAAAACATTTTTTTTATTTATAGAAAACAATATTTTTATCCCATTACAATTAATGAAATCCGTAGGTTAATACATTTCATGTCGATTAATGCAGCCATAACATTTTATATTAAAATTCTCATTTATGTATGATACACATTCCATTTGTTCAATTCTACATTTCAGTTTACATATATACAAATACGCCCAACCAGGTCTGCAATTAGCGTGTGCTTTACCAAAATGAAAGCGTAAAAAATTGGGTAAATCGAATAGTTGATTTGTTTGGGGAACTGAATCAATCATCGAACCCGAAAGAATTAAAAGGAAAAAAACAATCTTGGTTTTATGCATGTCTTTTTTTCTTACGAGTTAATTTTAGAAAATAATAAATATATTTATTTATAAAATAAAATAAAATTATACCTTAGTAAATACCTGTCTTTAGAAAATTTAAAAATATAAAACTTTTAATATTATAAATAAAAAAATATGCCTAATTTATAACTTTGATTTTATCGATTTAAAATTTTAGACAGGTGAACAATTATATAAATAACTCACAATCAGTTTTGTCGTTGGAAGATCTACCTTATAGGTTTGTATGTTGATTGAAGTCAAAATCCGAATTTCAAATAATGTAGCACAATAATTCAGTTTAACAAAATTGAGCATACAATTTGCTTAATGTTATTTATTAAGATTAACCAATTTAGACGCTGATGGGTTGACGTCGACGACGATACTGATTTGCACAAGAAGGTAATCGGGATTTATTAAATAGAATGTAATTTTTAAATTGTATTCTCTCGTGTCCCACTCTTTTTAAATCTAATAAAAATTCAATATGTCACACAAACAGTTGACATTTTGTTTGTCTATACATAATATACATAATTATTGTGATAAATAGATCAATTATTTGTAATGTTTAAACCTTTGAAATACGCCCAGTTCGCTTGATAAGCATTCCCTAATTAAATAACATTTAAATAACACATTAATAGATATTATAAAAACGTTATCTTTTTAAAATAATAATTTTAAAATTTTTGAGGAGCATGTTAAAGTGCTCTTTAGCTGACATAATATAAAAATAAATAAATAAGTGAGAAAAATAAATGAGATAAGGACAGTTCTTTGGATAGGATAAAGACAGGATAGTGTTCAGAAATATTCGCTAAGTAAAATGAAGATTTAATTCAAGCATAGTAAGTCATTATCATTGAATTACATTTATTTAATATAATAATATTATATTTTATTCACAAATAACTTAATATTATTAAAATAATGTTACTGTGTTTTAAATCTAACAGGTGAATTTTGTTACATATTATAATATTAAGGATTTTATTATATTATTCAAAGTAAAATATTGTTAAAATAATATGCACGTTCACTACATGGTATTATACAATTATTATCATGAACATAGTTGAATTAAATTGAATAATACGAACAATTATTATTAAGACTTAAATATAGGTAAGTAGGTACCTATTTAGGTTTATTTAAAACATTTTTTTTATTTATAGAAAACAATATTTTTATCCCATTAACAATTAATGAAATCCGTAGGTTAACCAATGTCACTTGGTTTAAAGCAGCCATAACATTGTCTATTAAATTCTTGATTTAGGAATGGTTCACATATCATTTTTGTAATTCTACATGACAGTTGACATACATAAAACTCGGAATAACCGGGGTTGCAATTAGGGTATGCTTTACGAAAATAAAAGGGTGAATAATAGTGTGAATTGAATAGTTGATTTATTTGGGGAGCTGAATCAATCATTGAACCCGAAAGAATTAAAAGGAAAAAAACTATCTTGGTTTTATGCATGTCTTTTTTTCTTACGAGTTAATTTTAGAAAATAATAAATAAATTTATTTTTAAAAGAAACTAAAACTATACCTTAGTAGATACCTGTCTTTAGAAAATTTAAAAATATAAAACTTTTAATATTATAAATATAAAAATATGCCTAATTTATAACTTTGATTTTATCGATTTACAATTTTAGACACAGGTGAACAATTATAAAAATAACTCACAATCAGTTTTGTCGTTGGGAGATCTACCTTATAGGTTTGTATGTTGATTGAAGTCAAAATCTGAATTTCAAATAATGTAGCACAATAATTCAGTTTAACAAAATTGATCATACAAGTTGCTTGATGTTTTTTATTAAGATTAACCGATTTAGACGCTGATGGGTTGACGTCGACGACGATAGTGATCTGCACAAGAATGTTATCGGGATTTATTAAATAGAATGTATTTTTTAAATTGTATTCTCTCGTGTCCCACTCTTTTTAAATCTAATAAAAATTCAATATGTCACACAAACAGTTGACAGTTTGTTTGTCTATACATAATATACATAATTATTGTGATAAATAGATCAATTATTTGTAATGTTTAAACCTTTGAAATACGCCCAGTTCGCTTGATAAGCGTTCCCTAATTAAATAACANGTACGTACTTATTTAACATTACAAAATTTATGTCAAAAAATGTTATCTTTTTAAAATAATAATTTTAAAATTTTTGAGGAGCATGGTAAAGTGCACTTTAGCTGACATAATATAAAAATAAATAAATAAGTGAGAAAAATAAATGAGATAAGGACAGTTCTTTGGATAGGATAAAGACAGGATAGTGTTCAGAAATATTCGGTAAGTAAAATGAAGATTTAATTCAAGCATTTGGAAAATTAATTTTAAAATGAAAACGTTCAATTAATTCTGGACAATTCTTTATTTAATAATTTATGCACACATTTCCATAATAATAATTTGTATCTTATCCAAAGCCATATAATTTCAAAAATAACATGTTCACTATCTTAATTACAGTGAGAGATTCTTTTTACATTATACTGGAATTTTAAAAATTGTAAGCGATTATTCTGTATTTTTAAGGGGTATAGTGATTGGTTTAATGAGCTATCACGCTATAAGAGATGCGTATTCGAGCATGCAGTGTATTAGAGAAAAATAAATTATTGTTAAATATAAATTATGTATTAGAGAAATTGGTAATCATCGTAAAAATCGTTACTATAATACGTTTAATAAAATCTAATTAAGTTAAAGCCTGATTACTTATATATTAAAAATGAGGATTAAAAGAACATTTTGAATCAAATGTGATTTTATATGAGCTTAAATTATTAATCAATAATTATATTTTATATTGGTTCAGAGTGTGCGATTATAATGTACAGGTGGGTCACGGAAACAGAGCCAAAAATAGCCGGGTTTTTCTTAACGCTAAAACGGAGTAAGAAAGGAATAATTATAAACCCATGTATAATAGACCCATTGTTAGTCCTAGATTTTGAGCGGAGTTATACTATTTTATTCGTTTTACGACGAGAACGATGTATAGGTATGTCGTACGTACTGTTTTTATACTATGATTCAAAAATTGCGAGTTATATATTTTACAATAATAGATAATATATTGAATGAAATGAAGAAAAGATATAACGATTCTGAATATTTAACTGCTATATCAGTATTTATTTAATCCAATATCAACCAATTTTTCAAATTATAATTTTTTTTTAAAGTGTACAAATTTATAAGTTGATGATTATTTCTCTGACCAAGTAGTAATTCAAAGCAAATTATCGAAAAATATATACAGTAGCCGTACAAATATCATGGAAGTTTACAACGAAATATGCATTATGGAGAAGTAATTTGGAGAAATTAAAAAAGTTATTGAACGCGTGTTAGTAATGCCAGTAAGTTCAGCGTTAGCCGAAAGAAGTTTTTCTACAGTGAAAAGGATAAAAACTTATTTATGGACATTTATGTCAACTGCGCGCCTTCATAATTTAACATTAATTTAAATTAAGATAGAATTCAGTTAATTAAGGATCCTACAAAGATTGTTGACGAATTTGCTAAATTGAAAAATAGAAGACTTTAACTAACTAAATAATTATATTTTATGTACTTATCATTAAACAAAAACTATTGTTTCATTTGTATTCATACATCATTCAGTTATATGTAAACTTAATTTTACTTTTCTATATCTTTAAATACTATTAACAAGTCAAACAGTCAAACATTTAATTAAATTTAAAAATGTTATGAAAAGTTTCCAAAAAAAGAAATAATGTATATATATATAAATTAAAATAATTATAACCGGGCTTGTCCTACATTTTGATCCTGGACACGCCTCTGAATTTAGACAATTAAAAACGTCATATTATTCAACGTACTTAATTAGTATTTTATCTTGGTATTATATAGGTACATACGAAATAATATTATTATAACAAGTGAATTAGACCGTTTTTATTGACGTCGTGCGTAAAAACTTTATTAAATAGAGATTTTAAATATATACATAGTATTGTTTAAACTTAAGTTAACTATTGCAGACCATAGTGAAAAATAATAAAACATAATCATTTATTATAAGTAATTGTGTGAGTGACTAAGCTATACACAAATTACTGAAAATTGCTTTTGTAAACAAAGCATTAATAATATTATATTATTATAATATAATATAATAATACTACTACTATAATATTACTTATAACCATAGATAAAAAAATCCACGAAATCTATTGTTATTTTTAGACATATTATCGACTTTCGATCAAATATCGCACTGATTTCATGTTTTTTCTCCATCCTTGGCTCCTCAAAAAAATTGCTCCTGGGGCTTTTGGTGTGTCAGGCTGACACTAGTTCTTTCATTTAAATATAACTATATTATGTATGCGAACACGAATTGTACAAACAATTTATAATCATTCGGTACAATATTATGAATAAACGGTTTGTGCCGAATTTCTAAATGTTATATTATGTATCTTAATTCGTGTTTTGTGGAGCATAATCATGTAATATAATAAGGTGGTATGGTTCAATTTTTTATTTCGTTCAGCAGTAAATTTAATTCATGAGTGTTTTAATTTAACATTTTAACCTAAACGCCACAGTTGAAGTTCTATGCATTGCGTAATGTTATTAAATGTTACAATTGATGATATCGTTGTTAAATTGTATTATATATATGTATATATATATATATATATATATACATATATATAATAACATTTAATTAAATGGACATTTTGTTCTCCCGAGACTCTCATCAATTCGAGAATTACTGGCTAAAATATTTTGTAATCATTACCATTAAAATAAAAAAAACGTACAAAAGTCACGTTGTAAAAATTATAGTAGGAACCTATCGAAAATCGTTAAAAAAACACTAAAATTAAAAATAAATTACACAGAAAAGCATAATTTTTATCGGGAGTTGTCTTAAAATATGTGTAAATAATTAATATTGAAAATACTACTTTATACATTTAATATTAATATTTTTAGATTTATTTATGAACGTAGAAGTAGAGGGGAGGGGGTTATAAAAATAATAAAACGTAAATTTCCAAAATATGACCCCTCTAGTGCACCAACTATATACACAAAATTTCTTTTCAGAAAAAGTGCTCTACCTGTTAAATGATACATCGGAGCGACTTTTCTTATCAAAAATATGTTTATAGACAGAAAAAAAACACACATAGTAAAAACAATAGATCTCTTGTTACATGTAATGATAGGCTATTTAAGCTATCATACATAATTTAAAATAAAATATTATGTTATGTAAGAAATAAATCAAACAATTAATAACGGGAACGAAAATTAAACATATACATCCAATTCCATTGTTTTTATCAAATAACATATATTTCAATGCGATATCTACTCATCGTAAGGATATGATACTTAAGCTATCATATATAGTTAAAATAAAATGTATAATCAATATTGTAAAATAATTATAATAATTTATAGCCATTATGTATTAGATTAAGTTTTTAGTATTAACCAGTTTAAGATAACACATTTACACACGCACACACACATAATCTCCAGTTATAAGGNCACAGTGTATGTATTGTTCCCGTTGCTTTTGGACAGATGATCACAAGCGAGTGTAAAAGACTACGCAGAGATTCTTACAAAAGTACGGGAACCTAGAACAGTGTTGTTTTATATTTAAAAAATTAATAAAAAAAATTAGTTGTTACATTAAAATCTTTTTATTTTATTTCGGTCACCTTTATCAGATTCAACAGATCATTTGCCGCCTGAAAGAGAAAGTTAATCCAATTTATAATTAACTTATACGTGTGAATCAATTTTATATGATTAGGCTGACCCCCCTCTATTTTTGTATACTACAAAGTGGCGCCCAACTAAAAAGCTCGTACCACACCTCCAAAAAATGTATCGAACATAATATTAGCTTAAACTTTTTATAATATTATCAACCAACTAATAGGTAATTCAAAAAACAAAAATTAAATAAATAAATAAAAGTAAATAACTGTCAATAAAAATTGTTTTGTCCATGTAGAGATGGATCCCATCAACTCAATTTTTACTCCGATAGCAGAAACCGTATCGAATTTAGATCAAAAACAAATAGAAACAGAACTTATAAAGAGAGGGCTTATTACTTCAGGAACGCTATCCGAATTAAGGACTAGACTCTTACAATATCTCATGGGTGAATCTATACCCACTGATTTTACGAAATATAAAACACCTACTTCCAACCAAGCGAATGACAACGAAAAAACCACAAAAATTACTAGCAAAAAACCATATTTTAAACCTGGAACATTCTCGGGACTAAATTGGGAAAATTTTGACTCTTTCATCAATAAATATAATATGTCCGCATCAATTAATGACTGGTCTGACGAAGACAAAATTCGATATTTCCCGGGTTTTCTAGAGGGTACCGCATTAAAAACATATGAAAATATACCAGATAACAGTAATATAAAAACTAAATGGTCAAATTTAGAAAAACATTTTCGAATACAAATCGAATCTACCGCCCAAATTGACATTCTTCGTTCTCAATTAGAAAAACGTAAACAACTAGATGACGAACAACCCATGGTATATATAACTGTTATAGAATCTCTATGCAGACGTATCGACCCTTTAATGATCCAACAGGAAATAATACGCAATATCATGAAGGACCTTAAATCAGATATTATTAGATATGTAGGTTTTATGGACAACAATACTGTAGAAAATCTTAAACAAAATATTCAAAAATTTGAAAAAATTGAATTTATGGCGAGTGGTAGTCTATACAATCAATCACCATTAAAAAATAAGGAATCAACTATGACCGAAAATATTAATAAAATCACAAGTCAATTTAACGATAAATTTAATACTCTTAGCGAACAGTTGAAAACACAAAACACTCAATATTTCAGAGATAATAATTATACTCCGCGCTACAATTCTTCTAAAGGACAAAAAACATTTGGAAAAAATAATAATTTCGAATCCCAAATACCCCGTACTCAATGCAATAACTGTAAAATATACAATCACACTAGTGAAAATTGTCGTTTTCCCATAAATCCGCCGACATGTCAACTTTGTAATAGAATAAGTCACATTGCTTGCGAATGCCGACAATATTTTAATCAGTCAAAAAACGAATAAATAGATTATATGGCCACAATGACAAAAGCCATTACCCTTCTTCGTCACACACAAATATTAAAATAGATAGCAACACAATAAATCATAGAATAAATACACTCACGGAGTCATTACACATCTTTGCATACTTAGATAACTCTAAAATATTACTGACCATTGATACCGGTGCTAACATTTGTTGCATCAGACATACACTTATATCCAACAGCCATAAAATAGAAAAAGCACCTATAAAATTAACGGGAGCAAACAACGAGCCCCTCACTGTACTTGGTTCTACAATAGTAAACGTTATTATAAATTCTCAAAGTTTCGAAATATTAACTTATGTAGTAAAAAATTTATCTTGTGCATTCATTTTAGGCAACGATTTTCTTTTCAAACAAAAGCTCAGATAAATTTCGAAAACGAAACGCTAACATTACAAAACTTATTACCTATAAAAACATACAGTAGTCATAATAAGAATCACTATATAAATAAAATAAAAGAAGAGATTCTAAATTTATTTACAGTAAACCCGATATATTCCATAGCTCATTGCATTTCAGTGGATCTCAAAATGAATAAAGGAATAGCAGCGCACATAAAAAATAAAATTGGAAACGCATACCCCCAATTATCCAAACTAAAACCAAAAGTAGGTGAAGCCATTCCCATAAAGGTAGGAAATCGAACAATTTATTATTTAGTAACAAAACAAAAATATTTTCACAAACCATCATTTAAAGATATAAAAACTACTCTTCAAAATTTACATAAAATTATGAATAAATTACACGACCACAAACTAGCCATTCCCACCATAGCAGTGGATCTAGACAAACGAAATTGGTCCATTATAAAACAAATGATATACTCCGAATTCAAAAATTGTAACATAGAATAAATTATTTGTTATAAAACATTAACTGACATAACAAACAGTTGGAGAACACGCGAACATAATAAAATTATCAATTTAATTTCAAAAAAAATTACGACTTAACAACTACAATATTAATAATAAAATGAACAATAAAGATAATGATAAAATAAGATTATTCCCACATAGCAATCATAGAACGAACCATACCG